TCTTACAGACATTGGACTAGACAAAGAATGTATGAAGAAGCCATCAAAAGCAATCACAGCAACAACAAAAAATTAACAAATGAGACTTGATTAAATCTAAAAGTTCTGCACCACCTACTAAACAATCACTAGAGCAAATCAGCAACCCACAAAATGGGAGAAAATATTTGCATGCTGTATGTCCAAAAAATATTGGCATGCTATCCATCTAACAAAGGGTGATAATTAGAATCTGTAAAGAACTCAAGCAAATTAGCAAGAAAAAAATATCAAACAACCTCAATAAGTGGGTTCAACGCAATCCCTATCAAAATCCTAACAAGACTTTTTGCAGAAATACAAAAACTTATCCAAAAATTCATATAGAATTTCAATAGACAACAAATAGCCAAAACAATCTTGATAAAGAACAACAAAGCTAGAGGACTCATCCTTCTTGATTTCAAAACTTACTACAAAGCCACTATAATCAAAGCAGTGTGTTAGAGATATAAAGACAGCCCACTGGAATAGGGAGCCCGGAAATAAGCCCTCGTGTATAAGGCCAAATGATTTAAGGGTGACAAGACCATTCAAAGGGGAAAGCCTTTTAAACAAATTGTGCTGGGATAACTGAATATCCACATTCCTAATTCCATATACAAAAAGTAACTCAAAGTTGATCAAAGGCCAAAATGTAGGACCTAACACAATACAACTCTTCCAGGAAAACAGAGCAAAAACTTTGAAACACTGTATTTGGTAATTGTCTTGATATGACACCAAAGGCACAGGCAAGAAAAGTAAAAAAGTAGACAAACTGGATGTCATGAAAATTTTAAAAATCTGTACATCAAAACACACTTAGGGTCTAAATGTGTCTCCCAAAATTCCTATGTTGAAAGTCAGTCACCAATGTGTTATTATTGAGAGGAGAGACATTTCCCTTATATGATAAAAGGGATTCAGGGAGTAGATTCACCTCCTGTAGTCCCTCCTGCCATGTAGGGACACAATGTTCATGTGCTCAGAAGGAAAGTGCCATCTTGGAAGCAGACAGCACTCCTCACAAACACTGGGCCTGCTGGGTCCTTGGACCTTAGACTTCCAGTCTCCAGAATCATGAGTAATATATTTCTGTCATGTATAAATTACCCAATTTGTGATGTTTTGTGATAGCACCAGAAACGGGCTAAGAAATGCCATCAACAGGATAAAAAGACAATCCACAGAATGGGAGAAAACACTTGGGTCACTATGCAAGTTTTAAGAGACTGTTATAGTCCATTATTTCACTTCCAAGAAACATAGTCGACAGAGTCCTTTCTTATTCACCCATGCAAGTTTCACCTTGTTCTGCTTTTTGGTGTTGCTGGGAGGGCTCAATTTGTTTCCATCCATATGGATTTTATGTTTCTAGATTTTTGTGTATCTCAAAAGTTTCATAAGGACCCATGTATTTGCTTATCATATAAATGATAAGGGATTAATATCCAGAATATACAGAAAACCCTTAAAACTTAATAACAAAATCAAACAACATAATTCATTAATGGGCACAGAACTTGAACAGACATTTCACCAGGCAAGGTGTACAGATAGCCAATAAGCACATGAAAAGATGCTCAGCATCACTAGAGAAATGCAAATCAAAACTACCATGAGACAGGACCTCACATCATTAGGACGGCTACTAAAAAAAAAAAAAAAAAGCAAATGTTGGAGAAATTAGAATATTAAATGAACAGCTTCTGGGAAAATAGTATGGCACTTTCTCACAAACTTAAAAATCGAACTATCATCTAGTAACTCCATTTCTGGTTATATTCCTGAAAGAATTGAAAGCAGGGGCTCAAGTATCTCTACATGCATGTTCATAATAAAATTTTCATTTAAATTTGTTTAAATTTGAATATTTTATTTAGTCATAATTTCAAATACGAATTTTTCATTTTCTTCTTTTAAGTCCATTAAACATTGTTTTCATTTCTTTATGTCCACTATTTTTTATTGTTTTTTTGGGGGGGGGACTTTAGTATGACGGTACATACAATTAGGTTACATTATTTGTGTTTGTAAGATAAAGTCTAAAATATGAGTTGTAGCTGAGTCCTTTACCACGTCTGCCACATACTCCTACATTGCACCCGATAGTGGGGACATACTGAGCCCCTTCCCTCTTCTCCCATCTTGAATTTGTTTTTCTATAATTGTGGATCTACTAATTTCAGGTTAGAACTGAGTACATGGGATGCTTGCTTTTCCATTCTTGAGATACTTTAGTTTGGAGAATGTTTTCCAAATCCTTCCAGGTGAATACAAAAGATGCAAGGTCTCCATCTTTTTATGGCTAATAGTATTCCATGGTGTGTGTATATATACCACAGTTTATTGATCCATTCAGGGGTTGATGGGCATTTGAGTTGTTTCTACATCTTTGTGACTGTGAGTTGAGCTGCTATAAACATTTGAGCACAAATGTTTGAAGCACATAGTAAAATGATTTTTTTTCTTCTGGGTAGATACCTTTCAGGATCAACTAAAAGTCCACTTTTAGGTCTTTGAGGATTCTCCATACTTCTTTCAGAAAAACTAGCTTGCAATCCCACCAACAGTGCATAAGTCTACCCCTTTAGGTGCACCCCCACCACAACAGCTTTGCGACCTTGTGTCATGGGCTATTCTCACTGATATTAAGTGATATCTCACAACAGGCTTTCAGTTTTTGAATTTTACATTCAAGATTTTTTTTTTCATGTCTTTAAATGTTTCTTGGTCCTCTAAAAGTCAAAGCTTCTAGGTTTCTGTTACAATAGAAAGATCAACTTAAAGATGTGGTCATTATTATTCATAAAGAAGAGAGGCTGACCTTAAATCTTGTGAAAATTCAGTCTCATCTAAGAAAAGTCAGAGAGTTCACTAAGACCAAGGGTGATGTCAGAGTCTTGAAAAGAAAAGCTAACAGGGCTCAAACTGAAAAGCATGTTTAAGACATCCTTGTATACAGTTAGATATTATTGGTAGTAAATGTGAATAAAGGAAAAAGTTTCAAGTATAATAGCTGTACTAAAGATTCACAGCCCAAGTGATACAGTTACAGTTGCTAAAAAAACGCTATACAAGATATTGCTGAAGAGGGCATCACTGTTGCATTCTTGGCTGTCCTCTGCTTTTGAGCCCACAGTTGTGCTTAGGGTTCATTGAGCTGCTTGGTGCTGCAGGCTTACAGTTTTCATCAAATTCGGAAAAATACTTCTTTTTTTTCTTTAACTTATTGTTGGGGATTCATTGAGGGTACAAGAAACCAGGTTTCACTGATTGCGTTTGTTAGGCAAAGTCCCTCTTACAATCATGTCTTGCCCCCAAAAGGTGTGGTACACACCGAGACTCCACCCAGAAAAATACTTCTTTAAATACTCATTGGGTACCTCTTTGGGGACTCCAAATGCATATAGACAAGGCTACCTGAAATTGTCCCACAGCTCAGTGATGCTCTGTTCACTTTCTAAAATTATTTTTATCTTTTGTGTTTTACTTTGGATAATTATAACATATTCCAGTTCCCTGATATTTCCTTCTACAATGTCTAGTTTGCTCTTAATTCCACCCAGTTGGTTTTTCAACTCAATGTATTATAGCTTTCATCCCTGTAAGTGGTTTCAGACTTAAGACTAAGAGACTTTCCATGTCTCTTTGTTTTAAATACAAAACAGAGTTATAATAACTACTTAATAGTAACAGCTTAATCGTGAGAGGATATCTGGGAAGAATGAGGTCTAGGAGAACAGAGGTCTTCTCAAGGAGACCCCATCCTGCAAGGTCCTCTCCATGGTAACTCAGCTCTTAGAAATTTGTAGACTTAACTTTCTGGGACCTAAAAACTAACTCTTGGTTTGGCTTCTCTAAAAGCCTGCGGTTCTGTAAGAGCGTATGCCCGCTTCTCCCTCTTGATTCAAGCTGACCAATGAGAAAGGTTACATGTGGGCTGGAACTTTTGGACTGGAGATAAAAAGAGAAAGACCAAGCCACTCAGAGAGAGTGACCTTTTGAAATTCTTCTATACCATTGCTCCATAGCTGAATAAAAGCTTTCTTCCTCTTAAATACTGTGTTTGGGTGTTCATTCTCTCCACTGGACCTCCTTTTCCCACAACATAATAATTACTAATTCTAACACTGTATCAATTCTAGAACAATTTCAATAAGCTGGTCTTTGGGTTTTTACCTCATTTTTCTGCTTGTATGCCTGGTAACTTTTGACTAGATGTCGGCATTGTAAATTTTACCTTCTTGGGTGATGAGTATTTTTGTATTTCTATAGTTTTGAGAGTTTTTTCTCAGATACAGGCTACTTACTTAGAAACAGTTTGATTTTTTTGGATCTTGCCTTTCAGATTTGTTAGACAGGACTAGAGTCTAAGGTTAACTGTTCCATACTGTTGAGGCCTACTCTACCCATTACCCTGTGAATAATGCTTCTTCCAGCCCCACTCGCAGGAACGGGCACCACACTCAGCCCTGTGTGAAAGTCAGGCCAAATTCCTTCCGATCATTTTGGTTAGTTCTTTCCCCAGCCTCTCCCTACACCTATGTGCTGATCAATACTCTCTACATCTCCAGTGCTCCCTTTTTGTTTCTGGCACTCTGTCCACAAACTCTACTAGCCTATGTCTCCTGAGACTCTCAGCTCCCTCCTGCTAACTCAGTCCGCCCATTTCCTCCTGGTGTCCCTTCCCTAAGTAAGGGTGAGGTGAACCCTCCTAAGGCAGACAGCTGGGGCAGTCAGGGACTCGCCTCATTTGCATCACATTCTTCTTGAATCGCCGCCCTTTGCTGCCTGATGTCTAGTGTCTTAAAAACCTGTATTTGAAGTATTTTGTTCTTCTGGGTGGTTCTTTCAGAAAGAAAGGTAAACCCCATTCCTGTTACTCCACCTTGGTCAGAAGAAGAAGTACCTGTCATAGTTTTTGAATTAAATATATGTCAAATTTAAAAGCATCCAGGATAGGAACGACTCCTTACCTTATTAACGTATCATCATCCACAATGACTAACCATGCTATTTTGTCATGGCTACGATTCAGAAATCTTTCCAAAATGGCAAATGTCTTTCCACAATGACCTAGGAAAGGCAAGAAGAAAACTTAAAATGCATTATTTTCCCTATAATACAGAATTCATTTTTTTTTAACTTTTAAAGTATTCTAAGAGCTTGGAAGACAACATGTATCTTAAGCCTTCCCTAATTTTCATAGACAGAGGGAACCAGTAGGAACTTTATAGATCACGTAAGCCATTCATTTCACATACGAGGAAATGGCGACAGAGAGAGGTTGGGAGAAATATACACAGCTACACAGATAAACTGAGGCAGACATAGAATTAATATCTTCAGTCCAAACAAACTAGAAAGTTCTAAGTCTCACAGCAATTATAGAAGTCTGGCAGTTTTTCTTAGATATGGCTATTCTGAAGGAAGTGTTAGAACCCAAAGCACCGTAACCATAGGGGAGCAACAGCACAGAAGTGGAAGATTATATCTTCATTCATCTTGTACATGCTTACCACTAAGTTTCTAAATGCCAGATACTATGGCAGGTACTAAGATACACACTAATGATACATGGCTGAGTAAGAGTCACAGTCCTTCAAATGCCAACAGAGAAATCACAATGCTTTAATGGTAAATGCCTAGACTAAGACAAGATCAAAGTGCTTGGGAAGAGTATCCAAGTTGATAAAGTAGGAATATGCCCCTCATTTGCCTAAGCACATGGTAACTGAGTGGAGAATAAACTAATATTAACTTATATAAATTAATGTCAAATGATGGGCATGGCGGCTCACATCTATAATCCTAGCACTCTGGGAGGCCAAGTTGAGAGAACCAGTCTGAGCAAAAGCAAGACCCCATCTCTACTGAAAATACAAAAATAAGCCAGGTGTGATGGAGGGTGCCTGTAATCCCAGCTACTCAGGAGGCTGAGGCAGGAAGATCGCTTGAGCCTAACGGTTTGAGGGTGCAGCGAGCTGTGATGCCACCACCTATACTCTAGCCTGGGTGACTGAGGAAGACTGTCTCAAAAAATAAAAATAGGCAGGACACAATTATAAGAGGGACTTTACCTAACAAATGAAATCAATGTAACCTGATTCTTTGTACCCTCAATGAATCCCCAACAATAAAAAAAAAGAAAGAAAAGAAAAAGAAATTAAAAATTTAAAGAAAAAAGAAAGAAGAAAAATTATTAATACTAAACCACCTGATTAGACCTTTATCTTCCATATTATTGATTTCTTTGTTTTTTTTTTGTTATTGTTGTTTTGTTTTTGTTTGTTTTTGCAGTTTTTGTCCCTAGGCCGGGCTTGAACCTGGCACCCCTGGTATATGGGGCCAGCACCCTACCCCTTGAGCTGCAGGTGCCACCTGATTTCTTTGTTTTTAACTATTACAATATATATTTTTAAAAGCCATCTCAAATTCCTTTTGGAATAAAATAGAATATAAGCATAGACAATAATAAAGTCAGTCTAGAAATAAATGAAGAAATAAAATAAGAAATGCACGAATAAATGATTAAAGCCAATCTAAACTGAAGTCTCCAAAGCGAGATTAATAACAAGAATAAAAAGAAAATTCAATCTAAAATAGTTTTCCCGAAATAAATAGCAACAGACAAACTCAATAATACACTTAGCCTTGATAGAAGAATTGATAACTATAGAAGTGGCATATCTGATTTTACAACGTACTGTATTAATCCAGGAATTATGAGTGACACTAACATAAGACAGATTACTCTACAAAAAAGATAATCATCTCACTACTTGTGATCTCACTACAAGTGAGATAATCATCTCACTACTTTTAATTTGTAAAATGTCATAGAAAAATACAGAAAAAATATGGCAGAAACAATGGATAAAAATTAAGATAAAGAGCTTCTGAAGATGGGATGGCCAAATTTATATTTCCATTTTTTTTAAATAAAAAAAATTTTAATTAGAAAATCTATCTGATGAGAAAAGCAGATATACATCTAACAATTTACTAATTAAAATATTAACATAAATAATAGAGCTTATTCTACACATAACCAGTATAAATGTGGTTCAGCGCTACTCAGAGATACACACAAAACGTGAGCTGGACTATTAGGCTTTTGAGTATAGAAGCTTTGGGTGGGAAGTTGATAAATTAATTTTGGATGTCTCATTTTGGCCGCAATGAATTATGAAGGTGTGAAAAACCTTTTGTTAAACTCTGTCATAACCGTCCTGTGCTCAATTATAGCAATATAACCAACTAAAAACTGTGCGGCCTGCAACGTAAAGCCCTTAATTTGAAAGAACCAGGCTATGTCTGTGAGTAAAGATGTTGGGTGGGAGAAAAAGGACAAAAACATACATGAGGCAAAAATCATGGTACTTATGAAATACTGCGTTTTTATACTAATTTAATGTACTATATTCACAGGATGGGGATTTTTAATAAGAAGCATACTAACTAAGAATTAAGGACCCACCTCTGTCTGTATTAGGAATTCCCAAATCCACAGTAGGGATGGAACTTTCAGCATAGTCACTGTAGTATTCCACGAGACTTGCCTGGCCCTCCCAAGTCTGCTTGACGATGGGTACTAAAAAAATTAAAAAGATGACAATCACTGGCACAACTATATAGGCAACCTTGAAAACTCAAAACGGCAGGGCAATCACCTACAAGGGAAGAGAAGTGTTACTTGTTTTTCTTCACATGTCCCAAGACTTCCAGCTTGCTTTCAACCCTGAGCAATGCCAACATTGCTGATGACAGCAGAACTCAGACCATCTTCTTAAAGCGTTTTCAAAATCCTCCATAGTCAAGCATTTCTCATTCCTGGTGAAAAATATACTTAACTTCCATATAGTAATAGATTTTCTAGTTTGATAACACTGTCATGTTTAAATTAATTTTAACTACTTTTTCTCTTTTCCCAATAGGTTGTTTCATTTAACCTATCTACAAGTAAATTTTTAAAGCCTGTTTTTGGGCAGGTGGGAAATATAAATACCTCTAAGGATGTTAACAAATTCATCCCTCTTACAATGGAGTGCGCAAGGACCTTTCACACTATGCATGTCTCCACCCAAAAATTCTAACAGGACCATTCAACCCTACAAAAAACATGATTTTGACCTTTCAGAATCACTGCATATGATGGCTGATATTACAATGTTGTGCTTTTAAAAAATGTAGACTACATCACAAAGTCCCCAATCTGCAGATGCTGGCATGAATATGGAGAGATGGGAACACTTTTGCACTGCTGGCGGGACTGAAAACTAATACAACCTCTATGGAAAGAAGTATGAAGAATTTTCAAAGAACTGTAAGTAGACTTTCCATTTGATCCCACAATACCAGAGGAACAAAAATCATTTTACCACAAGGACATTTGCACCAGAATGTTTAACACAGCTCAATTCACAATAACCAAGTGCCCATCACTGGGGCATGGTCCATGAAAACAACCCAAGTGCTCATCAACCCATGAATGAATTAACAAACTGTGGCATATGTAGACCACGGAGTACTATTTAGCCATAAAAAAGATGGAGATTTTTATATCTTTTGTGTTTACCCTGGATGGAGCTGAAACACATTCTTCTTAGTACAGTATCTCAGAAATGGGGGAAAAAAAGTATCCAATGTATTCAATACTGAAGGGAAACCATTATATAAACAACTACTTGCTCACACAAAAGTAATAACACAAATATGGTCTAGCAAGGGGGAGGGAGGAGAGAGAGAAAGATGATTGGCCGGGATCTCACCTAATGTACACAATACAAGGGTGTTCAGCCCACCCCCTGGGGGCTCAACTACAACTTGAACTTTACCTTAGAAATAAAAACAATGTAACCCTTGTACTCTCATATTAATCTGAAATTTCAAAAAAACAGGGAAAATGTGGGAGAAATAAAATTCAGAACCACTGCAGACTTTACAACTCTAACCTTAACAGATAAATTGTTTTAACATAATAAACACAAAAATGAAAAACGTTCCTGGTTTTCTATATTTTAGTTTCAGATGCTCAAAGGGAGCTCCCTGCATACCTGACCTAGAGATTGGTCACTACTTGATATTAATTCACCTGACCAACTCTACAAGTAATTATTTCCTTCTATTCTTTGTAAAAAGAATTAATATCTGTGTATCTCCGAATTTTAACAGGTCTCTGTTGTTTTTATAATAGGAAAAAACCACATTAAGATTTTATACCCTGTTAATTTAGGAATCTAAAGTCAGATGAGCCAAAATATCACTTAACTTTTTTAGACCTTATCAGAGCATGAAACTTTCCTTTTTTTCCAGCCCAAATAAAAACAAATTATATGCAAAAACTGACACTGCCATGCAAAATTTAAGTGCTTAGCTGTATACATCAGACAACCTTTATATATAAAATATAAAAGTGAATGATTTTATAATCCATTATTCACTGGCTTTAAGAAAGAGAAACAAGGCTGGGTGCCTGTAGTTCAGTGGTTAGGGTGCTAGCCACATGCAAGGCTGGTGGGTTTGAACTCAGCCCCAGGCCTGTTAAACAACAATGACAACAATAACAAAAAAACAGCCACCAGGCATTGTGGCAGGCACCTGTAGTCCCACCTCCTGGGTAGCTGAGGCAAGAGAATCACTGAAGCACAAGTTTGAGGTTGCTGTGAGCTGTGAGCCAAAGCACTCTACTGAGGGCGGCATAGTAAGACTCTGTCTCCAAAAATAAAAAAGAAAGAAGAAAGAAAAACAACTATGAGCTGCTAAAATTACACATTAAATACCATTTTTGTACAATAAAATATAATTTTTCTGCAACCACAGAAAGAGAGTTTTAAGTATTTCTTCTTGTCAAAATGGTCAGAGATGGGGTTGCTGGGAAACAAGAAAAGAAAAAATACATTTTTAAAAATTTCTCTGTTCTACTTCCAAATTTCAACACAACCCAGGCACAGCAGTGGCAGTTTGCTTTGCATCTAACAAGAGGACTTACCCCAGAAAGGCCTCCCTGCAGTTTGCAGCCACTAAAAATTCACACACTTGGGTGACATGTCCTCCATTGCTGCAAGAATCTGTGAGGAAAGGTTAAGAACTTTCCTGAGCCCCAGCATGAGTCCTGCAGGCTCTGTAAATGCTGCCATTCTTCATTTTCCTCAGCCTTTAGGCCTTCAGACCTTTTTGCTCTAATAGGTTTATTAAACAGCACATGGGTTTCTTCCCAATTAGCTGATTGAAATGAAGTCAAAATACAGTATGAAGTAGCTCTTCAACTGCTATACCTAAGTACGCACTTGCAGTTTTAATTTGCAACAGGTAAACAGAAATTGCACTGAAGGTAAGAATTACTATGTTCAAGACTCGTACCCCAACACCTGGTCATAGTAGGTACTTAATAAATTGTTGAATGACAACTGAATTTTGTAGGAGTTTCAATATAAGGCCTAGGGATATTCCTGGAAAGTAGTTTAAAGGAAAAGTTTATTTATAACAGCAATTCGTCCTTTGACACAAGACTGGGACCACCACTATTAATCATCTTAAAATAGGCCAACCATTTTAATATAGTAAGATATTGTAATGCTAGAATACCTAAAGCAGTTTATATCATATCTTCCCCCGTCAATATAGAACTCCTGTGCTTCTGTTGCATCTACTAGCTGTAAAGAATTTAAAGCCAAAGTTCAGAGTTTTAGAATATATTTTATTTTATTTTTTTAGAGACAGAGTCTCATTTTGTTGCTCTCTGTAGAGTGCCACGAAGTCACAGCTGACAGCAACCTCCAACTCCTGTACTTAGGCAATTCTCTTGCCTCAGCTTCCTGAGTAGCTGGGTCCACAGATGCCTGCCAGAACGCCCAGGTAGTTTTCTGTTGCACTTTGGCTGGGGCCAGGTTTGAACCTGTCACCCTCAGTATATGGGGCCGGCACCCTACCTATTGAGCCACAGGCACCACCCTAAGACTTTATTTTAAACCAGGGGTGATTCTAAATTAAACTTATAATACTGGTCTATTTTATTAGCATCATTTAAATTCTAAAATGAATTCATTCTATTATTTACAAAATATTTTATGCTGTATTCCTAACGATATTAAACTTTGAGAAAACACTTCAGTATAGTTACATGATATAGTATCTCATTTTCAATAAAAAGAAGCCTTTTTTTTACCACATAATAAAATAATAGTGAATATTTCTTTCAAGAGTTTGACACAGGAGAACTTAAAATTGGAACAAAGTAAAAATTTTACTATAAAATTCCCACACCTGCACAGATGGCATAAATCTTGCTTAGAGCCCTCTAGACTCTAAGCAAGAGATGCACCTCACAGTGAGAACAGAACACACATTTTTACCCCTGGGGGACTGACTTCCAAACCTGTCTCAAATTACAAACGACAATGAACTTGACACTTCATAAAAACTCCCACACAATCAAACGTGAATGTCTGTTTTGATTTTAAGGAGTCAATCTGCCTCTTTCCATTGGCAGATGGACCTTTGTCAATATCCACAAAATAAAACTTTGATTGCACTTCTCAGGAGAGGGTTAGGGACATACCAAAGAGCATGCTATTCCTCACCTTAAAGACTGACGTGAATCTAAGACTAAAAAACATCCCTCCCAGCTGAACCAAAACAACATCTAGGGCAGTAGTTCTCAAACTTCCTAATGCCGTGACCACCACCACATGAGGAACTATTAAAGGGTCGCAGCATTAGGAAGGCTGAGAACCACTGTTCTAGGGCGATCTGGAACATTTGCTATTCAGTGGGCAGGGAAAGAATTGCGCCCGCCAACACCTGACTCCCCTCCTCTCGCCAATAATTAATTCAATCACCTCATCTGATTAGGCTTTCCATCTGGCTGCATTTTAATTCAAACCTCTCCTTTTAAATAAGCAGATTGTTCTACAATACCTGTAAGCCTCTTTAATAAGAGAATACCAGCCACCAAATACTCCTTTTAATCAGTTTGTTCAGATTTGCCTCTTCTAGACAAGATCATGGCAGTAAAGATAGCAAACAGGTTTTTTATTAAAAAACAAATCTGAAAGGAATAGGGTGCTAATTTTTAAGAGCTCAGGAAGCTGTGAAAAGGAACTACAGGCTGAGCAAATAGCAATTTAAACTCTTTAATGAGAGGGAGACTGCAGGAGAAGAGTGTCCCTCCTCCCACCATTTGAAGAACAAAGACACTGGCTGTCAGGAGGCACAGGAGACATGCACGAGCTGCACTGCAAGATGGTGCCAAGAAAATTCTTAAGGTTTTCTGACAGCTCACGTCACACAATGCAAAACATATAACCCAAGAGGAAGTAAGTTGAATATTAAAACTCCAGGAATCATCTTGTTTAAATATAATTTCACATGCCATGCCTACTTCATCACCTTGTATAATAGTTTCTTTAATTTAACCCCACGAAAAGCTTGCCTCTCTGTGTTGCTGTTTCAATGGTGTCAACAGTATGTATTACTCTCTTGTACCAAAAGATAGGATATACTTTAGCTAACAGGATATATTTTTGCCAACTGTGTTCTGAGAATGCTGTTTCATTTAAATCAGAATACAGACAAAAGCAGTTACATAAACGTTTCATTGTTAGGCAAAAAAAAAAAACAGTACAACATTAAAATATTTTTCTCTTTTTGGAACTTGGTTGTAGTATCAATTCTTCCATGACAGTATGAAAAATGAATTCAACGTGTATTTTCCCTTGCCGTGTGACTAGTGACTGGAGCCTTGACTGGAATGTGGTCCCTCACACATCCTCATCCCAGAGGTGACTAACACTGCAGGGAAGCACAGAGGGGGCCACCACTAGTGTCCTCTGCTGCTCTGGGCCTGGGGACAGTGTGCCCACGAGTAACAGCACAGGCAGTCCTGGAGGTTACATCCCACGTACGTACAACTCACACTTACGAACAGGGGCTATTACAGTAAGTCCCTGAGTTATAAACGTCCGACTGATATATGACTCACATTTACAAATGGAAGCTATTATAGATAATGGCTTACCAACTTACATAAAAATTCAACTGAAGAACAAACCTACAGAACCTATCTCATTCATATCCAAGGGACTGCCTCATAGCCCAACTTTCAGTTTTTTAAACATAAATACAGTTTCTTATCCATATTTTTTTTTCTTCATTCTCTTTGTTACTTCAAGTATTTCTACTATAGAGTACACAGGACAAGGAAAATGAAAAAAAACAACCCAATCCATGTATTCAGCTAGACTGTGGCAGTGATATGCTAGAACAGGAGTGGCAGTCTACTAAATTCCCAGCTTGATCCGTATTTCAGATCCTGTGTGGGTTTCAATTCCTTGCCATCCCCATTGCCACTGAAAATGAAAAGCCAAATACTTTCACAGCTTCTGGCCAAGTCAAAACTGACCTTGAGCATAGCAGGGCATCAACATGAATATCAAAGACTATTTATCAAGTGTTGGGTTTGAAATACATCCAAGGAGATTACAGTACAGCTGTGCAGTGGTGGAAAGAAGATGAGACTTAGGAGCCAGAAAACCAGACTGCTTGGCTGTCCTGCACAATAGGCTACAAGAAATTGGGCCAGTTGTGTATCATTCCCAACTTTTCTAGATTATCTCTATAATATCAAGTCAATAACAATAATTATCACATCACAAAGAATTGTCAACATGCAATTAGATGACAGAATACACGTGGAAAACACAGCAGAAAAATGTAAAAAAGATAATCAGAGGCAGTTATTGTGGTGTTGTCCTTATAACTGACATGATCATTGGACAATTTGGGGGGGCCAATGGGGGCTTATCTATACTTCTAAAAAGAGGCAGGACACAATAGCCTAGCAGGCTTCACTTGCATCATTTTTTTTTTTTTTTTTTT